GTTTTGATTTGAAACTAAAGAGGCACTACAAAAAAAAAAAAAAAAAAAAGAAAAAAGAAAGAGAGAGAATGTTCAATAATATTGCACAGTGAAATAAATAGGATCCAATTCACTTGCAAAATGGTAGTGTAATAAAAATAATTAAATATTTCAGCAAATATAGAAGAGAGTTTTGAACAGTTGAAAGCATTCAAGAATAATTTTATAAAGTATAGCATGTCTTACATAGACAAATGTACATCATGTTGTTTTATTATTATTGTTATTTGTATTCTTTTCTTTATTTATTAATCTACATTTATATTACGCTTTTTAAAGATTATAGTGTTTTGGCAATTGATTCAAAAATTTATGTTGAGTCTAGCTTAAATTTAAGTAAAAGCAATAATTAGGCTTTGCGTGGTGGTTTAATTTTTCATGCACGAAAAGAAAACTATATATAAATATTTTTGGAGTTGGATTATAATTATGTTAAAGTTTTAAAATTTTAACCAAGTAGCATGCAACCACAGAAATACAAAGTATCTGTAGACATTGCATCTGTTTCCAAAAAAATAAAATTTGTAATTTCATGTAATTTAACTAGAAAAGTTGACATGGACATTGAACTATAGAATGATAAAAATGAAAAATACTGGTACCATAAATGTATACCAATCACCACTAGAAATCATTGGCTAATAGACACCAAAACTCCTAATTTAATGGTACCAAACAGTTTTATATTTAAAAATAATTTTTTAGTCATTTTTGTTGTGGGTCTCATAGTATGCAAGCAAGATAAATCATGCTCCAAATTTTGCAAGATCTTATTAGCTGCTAAATTTCTTTAGAATTTAATTAATAATAATATTTATTTTTTAAAATAGTTTTGAAGATAAATGTTTGTATGCAAATGAACTGTCTGACCTTAATGCTCATAAGTTGTTGAACATGAACTTTAAAACATTTGGATGATAATAATGCAATAGAAAGAAGTTCTAATCTAGAAGTTCTAATTTTTGGAAGCCTATTTTAATTTACTATTAAAATTTGTTAAATGAAGCAAGTAAAAAATATCTTACAAATATTTTTTTTATTTATTAAAAAATATAGGATGTTGCTAATGCCACCACAAGTTTTTCTATTATCACCACAATTTGCCATCCACTACATGCCACTTTAGCTTTTGCTAATGCTATCACAACTTATCATCTACTTGACATATGTTTTTAATTTTTTAATTTTTTTAATTTAATTTCTTTAATATTGATAATATATATAAAGATATATCAATATTTAGAAAATAATTTTAATCTTAATATAAAGCATTTTTAAAATTTTATTAATAATAAATTTTGGTGGATGAAAAATTGTGATAATAATAGAAAAAAATATGGTGACATTAGCAACACCTAATATACATACATACATATACATATAATAAAAATAATATTATTTTTTATCTATATTTATTATATTATGAATTTTTATGAGAAGAAATTAAAATGTATAAAACTAAAGTAGAGTATTGCATTTATATGTTGAAAATGCAAGCTTAAAAACAAAAGATACAACCACCAAGTAAAAGAATAATAGGCACATAATATGATGAGTATTAATGTGTTGAAATTTATAAAATACATATTTACAACATTGCTAATATAAAAACTTTAAAAAATGTTAATGATGTGAATATACATATTAGTAGAAATATATATTTAAACAAGAATGTATCATGATAAATTAAAATAAATAAATTATATGATAAAAGCATAATGATTTCTTTTTTAAAAATATAGTAATTTATAACATATTTAAAATAAAACATGATTTTTTTATTTACTAAATTTAATTTATTACTTATATTAATAAGTATGTTTTTGTAAAGTATATAATGTTATAAAGTTCTTGAGTAAAATAATACTTATATAAGAATAATAAAAAAGTATATTTTTTATTTTTATGATTTTATTTGTATAAATATAAAAAATAGTATTATATTAATATGTATATATATATATATATATATATATATATGATATTTTTATGTATCATGGTTCAAGTTTAAATTAAGTAAAACTATGCATTGCATATATATATATATATATATATATGAATATCTATATTATTTTACTTGAATGAATATGTATACGTCATTCTTTATTTTATAGTTTTTTTAATATATATTAAAAAATCAAACATAATAATTTTTAAAATTTATTTATCAAAGTCAATATAGTTTTTATTTTATAAAACTTATATTATATTAAATTAATAGGAACTTGTTCCATTGGATACAAAAATTTCTTATGTTTGTACATTCCATGTGTTTCCATCATTCCCTTCTTTATGGCCAATGAGAAGGTTTCTTTATTCAATTGTCTTGTATCTAAATTGTTTTATTGAATAAATAATTTTTTATATAAAAACAAGAAAAATTATCATACATATACTTAAAATATGCAAAAATATCAAAAATATTCCTATAAACTTAATAATAGTAAATCTATCCTTCATTTATGTGATAATTGCAAATCTACCCTTGAACATAATTAGCCATAACCATCTTTTTGTTTTAGCTACATTTGAGGTCCAACCACATGCCACACAAATTTTAACGCAACACTTTTCTTCACATTTGAGGCATTACATGAAATGTAATAAAAATAAAAATAAAAATGATGTATTATATCATTAAATTGAGAGTTCTTGTGTCTTGGATACTACAAACAATGTTATCAATCTTCAACAACATATCTTATGTGTCACAATGTCCTATCAATTCCAAAGAGACTTTCATTTATAGATTCAAAGTTGAGCGAGTGAATCTAAATCGTAATCTTTTTCAAAGTTAAAATTTTCTAGGCTATAATTTTAGTTCAACTTGGTGATTACATAGAGTCTATGGAGCAATTAAATTTGATTTTGTATGTTTTGTGCAAGCCAAAACATACTTCTATCATGGACATTTTGGCATACAGTAAGCTCGAGGGCTCTTTAGGTCCTTGATTGTGTCAATATTATTGTATAAGGAATTGTTTGCGTATAATGGCGAGCACATCATCATCATTAATGAATAGTAGGACAAGTCTATCTATGAGCAATAGCTTGGACTTACAAGCATGTCGTTCTAATTTGTGGGCAAGTTTGAGCTTTTTTTGCTACTCTCAATGCAAGTATTTCATTGAAATGCATGTTTGCAAAATTAGGTTTCATAAGCTTAAATTGTGAGGACTATTTAAGAGCACAACATAAGAAGATTTAGAAGAAGAGCATAAGAAACACACCTTCAAATCACCTTGCATTGTACATTGACTCAATGCATTCATTGCATCATTAGCAAGCAAAATCTTTTCAAAGCTCAATTTTTTCACATAGCATTCAATACACAAATACTATGACATACTTTAGAAGCAAGAGAAGACAAGAAACTTGAAAAACCACCCTTTGACAAAGCTAATGCTGATATTCCATAAATAAATTTAAAAATTACTTACTCTATTGTTGATTATATTTTATGTAAGGCTCAAAATATGCAAAAAAGTCTTGTACCAAAATCTACATGATATACAGTTGGACCTCAAATGTAGCTAAAAATAAAGATGGTAATAGCTTATCACATCCAAAAATAGATTTGTAATCATGACAAAACTTAGGGATAGATTTGCTATTATCAAAAAGACATGGATATTTTGGATTTGTAATTATCACAAAACTAAGAAGTAGATTTGCTATTATCAAAAATACATGGATATTCTTGATATTTCTACATATTTTAGGGGTACATATGATATTTTTCCTAAAAACAACATTAAACATTAGACTTAAAATCCTATAAATATTTATATTTTTATATCATACTTATTATGCATAAATTATCTTTTTACTCACAATTCAAAGTACTACAAGATTTCTTTAAAAACTACTTACAATTTTATTTTATTTTTTTTATTCTTTAAACTCATGAAATTAATCTTAAAAACTTCAAAGCACATGAGTATTAGGTAATTATTATAAGAATTTAAAATATGCAATCATATTAATTACCTAATGAGAATCAATATTTTTCATTCAATATTTATCTTAAGTAATGAATCAAATAATAAAAAATAAAGAAATTAATATCTATGTATAGTAAAAAAAATTGATACAATATATATTTTATTAAATAATATTACTGATCATCCTCCACTCTGTCCAATCAAGTAGACTACACCTACATCTTTCAAATATGTCACCTCCATAAAACATAATGAAAGATGAAACAAGAAATTCAACTCTCTCCTCCCATCAATAGAAGTTGTGATCCTCAAAGATAGCCATATGGAACTTTGTAATTAATTTTTTCTTTATTTCAAAATTATAATGTCCATTTTTCACTGGATTTGATATGCACTATAAGCTAGTCAAAATTATAAAGAGTAAGGTTGCAAAAGAACTTCCACCAACTTCTACATTTTCACAACCTCACTGTTATTGGTTAATGCCAACAAACACAAACTCTAGAGCACAAAATTTAAATTCAAAGATTGAGAATTACCAGGCTACTACTCAAATAATTATTGAACAAAATAAATGATCAAAAGAGTATAAATATATATATATATATATAGATATAGATATATTAAAACAACCACATTTAACAACATAAGCAACCAAGAAATTAAACTGTATTGAATTACTAGTGGGCACCATTTCACTTGATTTGAATCAACCACAAAAGCTTTTTTGGACATATACACCAGCTCAAACAATAAACTTCCATCTTGATCTCTTTCATGAGGTTTGGTGAAGATTCAAATACACTCATCGACTACTCTAATAGCAACATGCCTATTCAATCCAGAAATGTATGTATATAGAAATACATATATGTATCCATGCACATACAAATATTACATCCACAACCTTTCACATTGTCATGCATGTTTGTGGATATGGTTATCTAGGAAGCTGGCCAACTTATTTAAGATATGATCCTTGAAGTGTTTTAGATTCTTATTACTTGGAATGTAATGATCCAGAAATTAAAAAATACAAACAAGTTCATTGAAATCAACCAACCAAGGACATAAGGATTACCTATCAAGGGCAGGCACATTTGTTAGTGTATATGTGCTGTAATTTTTACAGCGCCATGCTCTGCAAACCAGACTATGGGCAACTTCCTGTTTCATCATAAAATGAAAGCTGCTGGAGACTGTGTGGCATCAAACATCATAAAATAATGGTAGCAAACAAATGAGATGTAACCTCACCAGGTTTTTACAACTCATGGGGACATGCAGAACTAAACAGACCAGTACCCTTGGAGCAGTAATGGTTGTGGTCAGTCTTATCTGCCTGACAGACATACTGCTTTGATTAGATAAATACATAGCAACACTATGCAGAAAACATGCTGTTGGTGCAGCTCATGGCTCCTGCACAAATCATAAGCACAAAACTCCTCAGTAAACCAGGAAATCCTTCTAAACATCATAAAAGCGATGAAAAGGCAAGCAAGAAATTGAAGGATATACCACTTGAATTTCTGGTTTGATGGAATTTACCTGAAAGGTACTCTCATAGCTGGATTTTTTAAGAAGAGACAATGCTCTTTTTCTTCAATTGTGGCTTTATAGGTCAACACTGCAGAACTGGGATTGGAATCAAACGAACTCAGGAGGTCCATATGGCTGCTAGAAACGACGCACAAAGATCGAGGAACACAAACGACGGCCCTTCCATGTAGTGGAAGTCTAGCAGCATTCCTTCCGGCACTTTGAACAGCTGCGGCCATTCAATGTCCACCCCAAACCATTTCAGAAACCTACTTAGTTTGCATGAATGGTACTCGTGAACGCTATGTCAGAGAAAGCCGGTATCAGGAGATATTCATAAAGATAAAGAATTAAACACGTCTGAGAAACAGAACTAAGAGAATCTGGGGTTGCTTGGTGAATTTTACCTGAGCTTCAAACTTGATCGGAGATCGAAGAGCAGCAGCCGTACACGCGAGGTTGTCGTACAGACCAATCTCACCAGGAAGAGAACCAAAACCCAGATTGGGGAGCGGAGGGGCCCAAACACATTTGACATAGTATGCGCCCACAATTTTCCAGCTCACTTCCAAATGCTGCAGAATCTTCAAGACCTCCCGCATGAGCAAGTGTGGAGGGAAATCGATCTGCTCACACCGCCTCGAGATATAAGAACCATATCTCAACTTATACCAAAACAGGGGCAGCCTTCGAAAAGCAGAAATATGATACTGAAATGATACTCACCGTGAAGCCTAGGACCCAATTGCCCTGAGGCATGACCCTGATGATGGGGACGGGCATGGGGCCGTGCTTCTGTACCATGGCCTTCATGTGCGTGGATTCAAGCACGGGAGAGAATTCGAAGGGTGACATCGGTGACATGGGCACACTCCTTGGAGTACTGGTTCCTCGAGACTGCTCCACACTTTCGGACATTTGGTTGGAATATGAAGACTCAGGGCGGTAGCCATGGTGATCCGCATTGTGAACCCTGGGTATGTTTACGCTCTCCGATTGCTTTCTACCTGACTGACGGTAGCCGCCATTGCCGTGGTTCTGGTTTCGATCACCAGTGTCGATCGCTGGGGTGGACACTTCCTGCAAGTCACATTAGAAGAAATAAGACACGTCGTTGATTACTAAGATTAAGAGCTTCAAAATGACCTATAAGGAATCTTTAGACCAGAAACATGGACATGCAGGGGTGAACCCACCAGGTCATTGAATTGCCCTTCGAGGTATTCATTAGGTCCTTGCTTCTCCTGACTGTCCAAAAGCAGGAAATATGCCACCGTAGCCTGCCACCTCAAAAAAAAAAATCAACGTAAATATACCAAAACCAATTTACTTACAAGATTATGTCATTTCACCCAAATCCAGAACTCACAAAGGAGAAAAGTAATATTATACACGAGACACCGTCGTCGCTGCGGAGAGAATGGAATTTAAGTCTACCTTGGTTTGCTCCTCCCATATCAAGGAATGAACAAGAGCCTCGCGATTGAATCCCATTTTCTCCACTCTCAGAATCAGCGCCTCGTCGATCTGGCATCCTCACCCACCCCAAGCAAATTAAGATTGCAAGATTGTTGAGGAAAGGTTTGAGCAATAATCAGTAAGTTGCTTAACACAATCCTGCCCTCAAATAAGTTTGAAAGCATATTCCATTTCACTAGGATTTTTTCTAAGAAGGAGGCACAAGTACCCTCTTCACTTGATGAGCAGTTTCGGCGGGAGGTAGAGCAATATAACTGGGAAGCTTGAGTTGGAAGAAGGGATGTCGACGAATCTCGGCGATTGTGATCCGTTGCAACGGATCAGCCTTGAGCATGCTTGTGATCAGATCCCGTGCCTCCACGGACAAATGGCTGGGCAACATGTACATACAGTCCTACCAAGACAACATGCACCTTCTTAATGAGAATTGAGAACCAATTCCAAAATTATGACGAAAGCGCACTAGATCTGAAAATTCAAGCCTTATCTTCGACATTTCACCTTTCCAACAGAGGAAACCAGAGACTTACAATGATTTTACGGTAGAGACTGGAGATGTTTTCGTCGTCAAAGGGCAAGACACCGCAAAGCATAGCGTACAGGATAACCCCACAACTCCAAACGTCAACCTCGGGCCCGGCGTACCAATGTCGCTGGATAACCTACCCACGGCTCACAATCACCCCATCCATCAGCTAGATTTTCGCAAGCAGAGTATACAAAGAGTGGGGTCACTCTAGTGACGATGCATTTGGCTTCCGAGTACAAAGGAAGGGCACTACTTGCAGATTTACCTCAGGAGCGGCATAATTAGGACTTCCGCAGCTCGACTTGAGAAACTGCCCATCGCGCATAATATTGCTAAGTCCGAAGTCGGCAATCTTAATCGAGCTGCGTTCTTGGTCCAGTAAGAGGTTCTCAGGTTTTAGGTCACGGTGCACGACACGGTTTGTATGGCAGTAGTCCACTCCTGCAATAATCTGACGCAGACATTCAATTGGTTGAGCAGTTAGTAGAATAGTCAGGTCTCTCCGATACACTTGAAGGGTTCGAATCGAGGATTGAGATTGTAAAATAAAAATAATATAAATAAACTCAGCTTGGAAGGTAACAATGAATGCCAACCTGCTGGAAAAAGTGGCGGGATTCATCTTCTGAGAGGCGGCCATTAAGGACGATGTAATCGAACAAGTCGCCGGACTCTACGTACTCCATAACCATGCAGATTTCGGTGGGAGTTTCGATAACCTCGTACAATCGCACCACATGCGGGTGAGCAACCAGCTTCATCACCATCAACTCCCGCCTCACTGCACCAGCCACGCCATCTTTGGAACCATTCGATTGCAAGAGTACAAAGAAAAATACCACATGTTCAACAAAAAACCAAAAAACTTGCAAACAGTGTGGGGAAGAAGTAACCCACCCTTCTCCTCCATATCCCGCATCTTGTGGCGATTCATAATTTTGATGGCCACCTTCTGGCCCGTGGGCATGTGCACGGCCAGCTTCACTTTGCTGAAGGCGCCAATGCCGAGAGTTTTCATTAGCCGGTACTTGTGCTCCGTGTAGAAGTACGCCGCTGTGCTAGACCGCCGACTCGACACCCGCGACATCTTTGTGCTTCCTGACATAATCAATATAAAAAAAATTGCACCCTGTCGGATTACCGAAGGTCGCTCACTCGCAGTTATCTTTTAACACACGCAATTTTCTTAGTGGATAAGCTGCCCGTTTCACAGCCAATTTACATTTCGCTCTAAGTTCCGCGTATGCATATATTTAGAACATGGGCCAGAACTCTTGTTCGTCGAAAGATTGCTGTGGTGAACAGAGAAGAATGAGGCGTGTCGTTCTCCCAAGGCTTCATTGTAAACACAACGACTGCCCCAAGCTGTGATGATCCTGTCAAACAACGGTACCCGATCCAAAAACTTGAGCGACGGGGAGTAAATCCTGGTGCACTCCGATTTGCGAAGTCCGAACTGAGGGCAGGTCATGGTTCACAATCAGTCACCTCGTGGTGACACCAATAATCTCCGCAATTCTCATGTTTCTGGAATTGGAACCTTCCCTGCTGTGTCCTGGGTACCTGCACTGAGATCGATGTGATGTTCCTCGTCCTCCAAGCGCCAGGTAACACACTTTCCCGGAAGGTAACAAACTGCACGAAAACCAGAACTGCAAGCACTTCAGCAGGCTTGAACGTTGAGTGCGCTTCAAAAGTTCGCCGACAGCGATCTAGCACTACCAGATCAACACAGCACGCATCCCGCACTAAACCAGACCCTCAGGCTTCGGTAGCGTTTGCTTCAATTTGAAAGGAAATCTCCTGTACCTCAGAACTAGGAAAGCGTCGTTACAGTCCGGATGATGAGGTGACTGCACGCATCGTCGACTGTAAACTATGAGTCTTTCAAGATGAATAAGACGATGATCACTCCCAAGGTACATGCGATGAACCACAACGTCGCAAAATTCACCAGAATCCGCCTCCTAACTGACCTTTCACTGCGGATTTCAACACACACACCACTGCGAATGACAGGACCGCCTTCACGTAATGCGGCATTCTACAAGTTCAATGCTACACGAAACATTCTCTTCCGCCTAACGCTCTCGCGGAGAAGCCAGTTACCACGAGCAAGCTACAACAGAAGAGCCCAAGTCCAAGCTGCTCGGCAGCTCATGGCCGCGAAATATATACGGTTCGCGATTGGATGCGCTAGATCCTTGATAAATAAAAAAACCAAATGAACACTAAACTAAACTAAACAAAACGCTCCAGCGTGTAACAGGATCTGAAGTACACCACGCTCCAACAATTCAATTCCAAGATACAAAACATCTCTGCAACACAAGCAAGCGCAGAATGCCTTGATTCTTCGCGTCGCGTCGCGTCGCTTCTACTGCAGTGCAATTCTACAACCCGCTCCGTCGCATAACCATTGATTCAACAACCTAGGGAAGCTCGGTGCAGATGACGAGATGAAATCCAAAGGAAGCTTGAGAAAATGAGAGTGAGAGAGGGGGAGGGGGGCGACCGTGTCCTGTTAGACAGCCCTCTTCTTCTCCTTCCTCTGCAGCAAAAGTTTACAAAAGAATAAGAATAACAGGGGAGAACAACCCCAGAAAAACCAAAAAATAATTATGAATAAATAAATAAAGGGTTAGAGGAGAGGGGTTTCCCTAAAAGTGCAACGAGGCCTGCATCATCGCCTGCACAGAGAGAGCGACGACCACCGCCTGCACCCAGTCGCATATTCCCTTCCTTACCGCCCCCACCCGGTCACCTCCCTCGAGGAATCCAGGGGACGAGAGGAGGGGGGGAAGGAATGTGCAGGGAACAAGGGGAACAAGCCGAGTTCCCTCGATTCGCCAATGGGGATCGGTATACGATTCATTAGTGCCACTCCGGTGTCGGAGGGAACCAACTGTCGCGGGAAAGGGGAACTCAGCTGAACCGTCTGGGAACTCCACTGGGGAAGCACAGGGAACGCAAGGGAGCTCGGGGAACCGAGACAGGGTTGGTGGAGGGGAGGGGAGAAGAGGATTCCCTTCCCGTGCCCCTTCCCTTCCCCGTTCCCCTTCCTCTCAAGTCTGGTCAGTGAGTCAGTTAGAGAGTCAGTGCATTGAGTCTATTTTCATATCGTGCCACTGATTGGCCCCATTTGTCACTTTCCTTCAATAGCAGCAAATGGGCCAGGGTGTCCTGTTTTTCTTTTTTTATTTATATTTTTTTGCTTTTGTGGCAAGAGAGGAATCCGGGTCCATTGTACTCCACCATTGAATTAATGGATGGCTGTCCTCTCTCTTCCCCCTTCCCTTCCTTTCCTTCCCTTTGTTTGCTTCCCTTCCACAGCAACTCATGACAACCTCGACCAAAGGGAGGGAGCCAGCCCAGCCCAGCCCAGCCATGGCCCTGCCTCCCCCCCCCTTTCCCCCAAGTTCCTCCTTAATAATGGTGGCTCGTTGACAGACACCCTTCAGCCACCCTCCCCTTTTCTGTGCATCCATTATCATGTGGCGAGAGAAACTCTCTTCTCCTTTGGATTTGGTATTGTGAGCAAAGAGAGAGAGAGAGCAAGCAGGGGTGCACTTCATGCCTCCTCCCTTAACTCTCTCTCCCCCCCTCCCCTCCCCCACATCTCCTTTGACATGATCTCTTCTAAGTCACGTTATGCTTTTTTTCCCCCTTTTTCTTGCATGCCTCAAAAAATCTTTTTCCTCTGAAAAGCAAACCCACTTCCAATTCAACTGCTAGGGAATCTTGTGTTTTACGCTACCCCCCCCCCCAAATAAACATATTGATATTATTTTACAGAATTCAATAACAAGTGCATTCCTCTAGTTTTCAGCTATTATTATTATTATGATTATATTTTTATTGTATCTTCCACACTTTTGTGTCATATTTTCTGTTTTAAAAACTGTTTTTCTCCCGACTTTTATAGTAAAAAGTGCTCCCAATCATGGGGGCAGAGCACATAGGGGAATGCAGAGTCCTCCATACTCCGTGGTTGTGTCACCACCTTAAGAATCCATTCATCATTGGCAAAAAAAAAAAAAAAAAAAAAAAAAAAAACCATGGCTGGACGAACACAACTGTGTCTTATTGTGAAGGAAGGGAATAATAATAATAATAAGCGAGCCATTCCTTTTGCCACCACGGGCCGCCTTATCTTTTTTTGGGGCTCCTTTCACACTTTCAGGAGGGGGAGGGATTCCAGGTCATCTATTTTAAGATTCCAGCTGGACCAAAGTAAACCCGCCTTCTTTGCTAAAGTATCTGCCACGTCGTCTGCATACTCCCAAAAATATCCACCCAGAACCACTTTATTTATTTATTTAGTTACTTATTATTTATTTTGTTTTATAGAACATGGATTTTTGTGAAACTATTCATTCCACGGTTGCCCCCTTTTTCTCTTGCTCCCGAATCTCCTCCTCTCCCTCGATGGAGTTGGCGAAGGGGAGTGAAGAGGGCCCAAAACTGTTCCAGCTCCTATTACCGCTTCGTATCCTATGATCGCAGCATGCCCCTATCACCAGCACCAAGAAAGTTGATTCCACAATTGCTTTGATTACAGGGAAAAAAAAAAAAAAAAAAAAAAAGTCTTTTACATTTGACTTCAAATATCACAACTTTGTTGAACACCCTCCCATCCTAGAAGGAAAAACGAGGTATTGTGAATACTTCAAAATAATTTGAAAAAATAAAAATAAAAATAAAAATAAAACATTCTTATTAATATAACAATGGTCAATTTTAGTGCATGTGAAATTCCCAAAATGAAGTTCTGTTCAACAAATGCTTTCCATTCCCAGTCATCAAACTTGATTTATTTATTTTTTCAAAACACCACCCCATATTGAACTACAAGTGAAATTGACAAACAGGTATCCTTTTTGAGAGCCACAATTGGGTGGTCAATATTCAAAAAGCTTGTAAAACAAAGCAATTTGGCCACCTATATTACATATCAAGGGGGGTTGCTCATATCATTCATCAATACCAAGTATGTATTGTTTTTTATGAATACAATGACCACTGATGGGCAGATGCAGAATTGAGGATTTTAATGGATTCTTCATTGGGAGGAGCAGGGATTTGGGGGGGAGGGCTCTAATGCCCCTCTGCTCTCAAGTCAGCAAAAGGAGAAAGTGTTTTTTATTATTATTATTATTATGTTATGATTGTTATTATTCCAAATTCATGTAGAGTTTCATGACATTTGAGATCTATTTGAAGGCGTAGACCATTCCAAGCCATAAGAGCCAGGTCATTCTTATTGATATATGTATTAAATCTCTAACTCATGGAATTGGTCAGTCACTTTTCTCCACGTGGTGATCCAGCATTCAGTGAACTTGGTGCTTTTGTAAGCTATTTGTTCACAGTTGTATTTGATGTATAATACTTTTGATATGTTTTTTGAACTACAGTAAACACAGCTGTTTTGTAAAAACAAAACAGTTAAATTTTTCCTCATTAAAATGAAAACTTATACTGACATATTTGTTTATACTACATTTTTTTCTTAAAAAACTAGTCTGAATCTTAAATACTTATATTTTTGTTAACTACCAAGTTTTTTATTTTTATTTTTATTTAAAATATGTATATTTCCTCCTATTTTCCTGTGAGAGGGGCCACGTCCTTGAATCCCTCAACAGATATTCAAGGATATTCCAAACAAAGAATAATAACAATGACAATTGTGCCAACTTGATAAAAGTAATATTATTCAAAAAGTTGTACGAGAAAGCTTGTCAACTGGGACAGAATGAATTAGGATCTTATTTTATTTATCATGATTATTTATTCTTGTTCTTTCTTTATTTTTTTGTTCTTCATTTTCAATGTTTTTTTTCTAATTTATCTGATACGTGGTTGGATTTAATCCTTCTCAATGAATCCGGACAAGTATGTATATATATATATATATATATATATAAAAATTGCAAAACTGAAAATTCACGGATATTAACAAATACTCAGACTCTGTGATGCTTCCAGACTCTTCAAACCTTAATTAAATCAAATATTTAAAGAAGACTGGTGTGATGAAATTAGGACAAAACCAATAATTAAAATTTTAATGATTTAATTGAAACATGGTGTGTGTGGTATTAGAATTTCATGAGGTATTAGAACAATGGCATTGGTCTTTCTTTCTTTCTTTCTTTCTTTCTTTCTCTCTCTCTCTCTCTCTCTCTCTCTTTTTTTTTTTTTTTTTTTTTTTTTTTTTAAGAACAAGGCATCGTCACCAAATTCAGGATAATTGGGATTTTTCACGTATGGGTACTTTTAAAAAGCCTATATGAAAATTTTTAAAAAATACATATGTAAACAATAAAAATACAATCTTACATTTACTTTTAGCACCATAGGATTGTGTAGTGTCAAACTATCAATAATATGATGTATTCTTTTAAAAGAATCATACCTTCTTTGTCCTTTTTTTAATTTAATACGTCAAATACATCATTTTTAAAAAAATTGTACAATTATTATTGTTGTTGTTGTTATTAGCTTTGTTCTCTTTAATCATAGGTTTTACACATTTTGAACAAAGATCTTAAATCAGATAATTTTATATTACTGATATGCTCTTATCTACAGACAAGAGCACTTGGTTTACCTCAGTTCTTCACATACACTTCAATGTAAAACAATTCTATGCATCTTCATGAAAAACATATCCATTGTTCTATATACATGTACATTTAACAGACTGTTAATTAGAACTTGACATGAATTTAAACAAACTGTATATGATCACATTAACTTTTCAACACTGTATTTCTTACTTGTATTAATTTTTAACTTTTATTCACATTGTTCTTATTAAAATCAAACATTTAAAATATTTTGTTTGATTATAACTATTATGGCTACTGTCATGCCAAAGGCATGTTGAACAAATTATTAAGAAACTAAATTTATTGATTTTCATTCTCATTTTCATATCCTAATCTTTCAAGTGATCTATTTTGTGGTAAAACGTGCTTTGATCTATGTTATAAAGGTGTTTGGTTTTATGCGTGGTCTTTTACCTCCAAGGCCCTTTATAAATTCTAATATATTTTGTTACATATTATTGCAGAATATTAAGCATTTTAATAAATCTTCACAAATTATCTTGGAGCTAGATAAGAAACACACATGCATTTTAGAATCTCGTTTTGTTTTCCATTACTCTATTGCTATTGCTAATCTGTGGATGATATCAAAACACATATCTTCACACTGGTGCCACTCATTGTCGATGGTGATCCAGGAAACATATGATACGACCAGGTTTGTCTTACTAAGTCACAAATGTATGTAATAAATCAGGTCAGTGGGAGGGGAGAGAGAGACCACGTTATCAATACAAATGACTGCAGAATAATAACGTAATATGAAACAGCGAGATAAATGCAGAATCCTCACTTCCTCAGTCCCTGTGAGAGCATGGTCGGTTGGTGCATATGCTTGCTGGGACAGAGCTCCTTCTTTGCTCGAAGACACACAAGAGTAAGACAAATGGGA